CAACAGCATGCTCTCAGCTGGGTTTTGCTGAATGCTGCATTGGGTGCATAACCCCACAGCTTCTTTCCACATTAAGAGCAATTGTCTTGCTTGTGCAGTTTCCATTTTGCAGTTAGTTCTGTGTTCAACCTTGCAGTGGAATTGCCAGATCACAGCCCAAGCCAATGGTTGAGCACCAGGTGAGAAGGTGTGGCTAACCCAGGGAGCTCAGGTGCAAGCAATGCACCTGAGTGATCAGAGGGGTGGATCCTGGCTCCATCCCTACTCATCCTCATTTAAGGGTTAGCAGGTGAGGGGTAGTATCTCTCTGGATGAATGTTATGCTTTTCTTAAGATGTTACTGGTCATTGGAAGATGCTGAGTTAGTTAGTTTTTTTTACTTGCTGTTGCTCTGTAGGATTTGTAGCCTCCTAGAAGGCACTGTCATTTCCTTCTTTGCAGTATGAACTAACAGAGCAGAAATTAAATGAGAGATAATTAAAGAGCCAGTGATGTTTCTAATAAAAAGCTTTTCTCCTAGTGACTCTGCCAGAGCTCCTACGCTTCCCCATGGGATATGGTGAATACCTTTAGTAGTGCTTGTGTCTGTGGGCAGTGTGATGCTGTTGGAGGGCTGATTTGTATGTGAGTGCCCTGTACCTTTCATGTCCTTTGGGAAGTCCCAGAAGACAGAACAGGCTGCCCAGAGAGATGGTGGAGTCACCATCCCTGGAGGCATTTGAGAGCTGTGGAGATGTGGCACTGAGGGATGTGGTTAGTGGACGTGGTGGGATAGGCTGGGGTTGGACTAGATGATCTTACAGGTCTTTCCAATCTTAATGATTTAATGATAGTTACCAAACAGTATAGCGGCAGGAAGCATAGCAGCCTGTGGTGGATGGAAGTGACCTGAAGGCCTAGAACTGGAGCAGCCGAACTGAGTAACATCAGCATCACGCTACTGGTTATATAGCAACAGGGAGATCAACAATCAGATTGTTACTGTTTAGTCTCAGCTGTATTGAAGGTCAGGAAGCGAAAAGCAAGGTTTGCAGAGCTGCTGAACTTCTCCTGTGGAAAGGAGAACAAATGGGATGTCTGCTGGGGAGGTGTGATGTGTTGGTTGTTGGGTGACTGCTTTAAGAAGGGTGAGCAGCTGAAGGCTCTGTCTTTGCTCTAGGGGGAAAAAAACTAAAACAGCTTGATAGATGCTGCGAAGATGGGCAAAGCTGTGACTTAGCTCTTGCCCTCTGATATTCTTGGCTCTTCTGCTCTGTGACCATGGCCATTGGGGGTGTTTTGTGGGGGTGACTTTCCCTGTACCTTCAGGGAGCACCACATTTGAAAGACTGGAGCTCACTGCCTTGGTATGAGGAGTAGCTCTGCTGCATTTCCTCTGGCTTCCCCACCCTGAACAGCTGTGTGAGGAGCCAGAGCAGGATCCCTTACGTGAACATGCTAAAGCACAATGGCTTATAAAAGAAGAACAAAAATATCCCTTGATATATCACATGGGAATCTTAATAGCTTGGGGGCTGCACTGGGAATAAGTGCTGCATAAAAGTCTCTTGTGTTCAGACTGTGCTTTGAGATCAGGGCAGTCATAACTTCTTCCTTAAATTCATTCTGAAACACTTGTCTTTGTCTTTAGGGAGCCACTAAGTTACAATGAAGTCTTGTCCATGTTAGTTTAGTTCCATTTCTTTGGGAAAAGCTGATCCTGCAGCAAAGCAGGAGAGTGAGTGGAGGAGCCTGAGTGGGAGAAGTAGGTTTATCCTGAGTGCATTGTGCAGTATTGCTCCTTTAAAGGCGTGGAGATCCAAGCTGCTCTTAACAATAAAAGGAAGAAAATGGTAATGAAGGGGATTGTACTTGGCTGTGCTGCAGTTTTTCTCCACTATTTATGGCTTGTTCTGTCTCCTACTGATTGTAGTTTGGGGCAGTTTTACTGGGGGAACTTGACAAAATCTCAGGGTTATGGGCTTTCTTTTCCTGCCAGTGTTTGAAGTGCTGGGAATATTGTCTGCAAGGAAGAATTGCTCTCTTCTGTATCTAACTGCTAAGCTGTGGAAAACTTCCATTCCATTTTGTTGTCTTTCTGCCTTGTGTTATGGCCTGTCAGGATCTTCCTCTGTCCTTAAGTGACCAAGGGAGTTGATGGTTGTATTAGTTTCTAAAAACAAGCAAACAGAAAATCGCTGAGATTTTCAGTGTGATTGCTGCAGCACAAGGGGTGGCAATGCTAGAAGGCCATGATAAAATCGCTGTTCTCTGGGATTGGAAAAAGGTGATGCTAAGATGTATGATATGACTAAAGAGTCAGGCAAGAGCCAAGTGTAGAGTTGTGCCTTTGGGTTGGCTGGAAAAATGCTACTCTGTGATTGGACGCCTCTCTTCAAACAGTAAATCTGGGCTGAGCTTTGGGAAGAAGGATGGGTGCATCCTTGGTCCTTGTTAGAAGCAGGCTTCACCTTGAGGGTCTGGAAAAGGCTTTGTTTGTTGATAATGCAGGGCTTCATAAATGAGCCCAGAGTGTGGGGATGCTGCTGCAGAAAGGGCTCTTTCTCAAGGTGGAGGCAGAAACACCACTGCATTAGGGACTGGAGGAACAGGTTAGTTTTACGTGTGGCTTACTGCTCTGTTTCGCTCCCCTTGAGCTACTGTGAGCTTAGGAGTGAGCCTCAAACTTCAGCTGAAGTAGATCTGGTCAGAAAGAAGAGCGTGGAAGAAAAGACTTCTCCTTCAACCTTTCCCTTGGCAGACATTGACTTAGAAAATCCCTCGTCTATGAGGCAAGCAGTTATTGGAGCTTGAGTCAGACCTGACTGTGTTTGTTGTGTCAGTGATGAAGGGATGCTGGGGCTTTGCTCTGTGTTTTCCTATGGTGGCAGCCTTCTGGAACAGCCCTGCTCCATCTATCTAGCATGGATGTGGGGAGGTTCTGATGCTGTTTTGATAAATTCTTAAGGTGACGGTAAGCTACTAACGGTGAGAAGCTTTGCTGTGTGTTGTACTCAGTAGGCTGCTTAGTGTAAGTGGCAGCGGTTTGCATGTCCTTCCAAAATGATATGCATGATCCAAGTATAGCTTGGACCACAAAAGACAAAGGCCTTCTGTCCTGTAGCTAAATCATCTTCCCAAGGAAGGGGGTAAAGCTGTTTCTTTTTTTTTTTTTTTTATCTTCACTCCTCTTATGCTTCAGGGGATTTCAGGCAAGGTCTTCCCCCTTCCCCAGCACAGTGAGAGCTTCAGGCTGCAGGAGCGTCTCTAAGCATGTCCTGCTGGGAGCTCTTCCATTTTGTGCAAAGTACTTAAACATGAAAATTTAATGAGAGAGTAAAAATGAGGCTGAGACTCATTCAGGGACTGAAACATAGGTTTCCTATTGGAGAATGCCTATTAGTGCCTTTATTATTATTGTGGTATTAGCTAAAAGAGAGGAAAAGGGACACATTGGAGGGGTGAAGTGTTCAGCTGTGCCTGATAATACAGCTTTGCATTCCCTTCCTTCTTGAATCAAGTTCCTGTATCCAACAAAACAGATCATGTGTTTTGGAAAGAACAAAGCAAAATACTTACTTTCAAATGAATTTATTTTGCTTCAGTTGGCATGTGCTCTTAGTAGAGTGTACTTATTGTCCCAGAGCTGTGAATCTTGCTGGGAAAATGCCTTCCTGCAGTCTACACCATTTGGGTTACTATGAAATCACTTTTTAAGGCAGCATGGAAACCAGCTGGCACTGATTTATTCATGGAAAGCACATGCTTCTGTAGATACAAAATTGGACCTGATTCTCTTGAGGGCTGGTAGAGGGGTCCCCAAAGCTCCAACGCTTTACAGATATCCACCCTGCTCTTTCTGCTGGCCACGGGGTTTGGCTGGAGGAAATCTGGGCTGGGGGGCCCTGCCCTCAGCTGGGGAGGTCAGTGCAGGAATGTTAGGGATGGGGAATCCTGATGGGGCCACTTAATGCAGTGTGACTGTGAGGTATGCAGTGAGTGTGGCTTATCAAACCTCAGCAGAGGTTTGGAGGATGGAGGCTGACTACATTTTGGTATGCTGCACTGGATTTTCTTTCCTCTTAGAGCTCATTATTGTTTGCTCAAAACTTCTCAAGGGTGGTCAGACAGAACTATGAACTCGCTTTGCACAAGGGAATCTCTGTAACCCAGCTGGTGGGGCTGCCTGTAGCTGGTTAGTTGGCTTTAAGAAGCTACACCAGTAACACACCTGTGATCAAAGTGAATTTGTCCTGAATTTTTGACTGCTTTATTTCTGTTTGACCAGTGGACCCTGCTAATGACAAAGAACAGTTCTCATCTGCCAGAGTATGTGGCACACATTTTTTGGGAGGGAGGAACATACGGGATTTGAAAACAGAGGTGTTTCAGGTGCCCATAAATGTTTCAAAGGTTGTTTTTGGAGGTGTCTCACATCTGTTCTTTTAGGAATTTTGCTCCCCAAATCCCACACGGTTGGACTGGTGCAGCCTGATTCAATGCTCAGTTACTTTGGTGTTACGCTGCTTAATAACATCAATTTAAACAGATTTTTCAGTGGCATAAAACTGGAGCGACACGATAGTGAATCAGACATAGAAACCGAGCGAGTTGCCTGCACAGGCAACAGAATAAGAAACAATAAGTGCATTCTTTGCTAGACTGCTAGCAAATTTGCTTCTAAACTGGAGGCATATTCAGAATACATAAGCTGTCTAAAGACTTTCATTTGGTAGGTAACTTTCACTGAAGCAGTGTTGCATAAATCTGTTACTTTATGCTGTACCAACTATGCCTTGCATTTTACCTGCTCATCTGATCTCCATTTTATTTGCTTGTATGTCTGTGTATATATGAATATTTTACAACCTCTCTTGAAAGGGATTGCAGAAAGCTGTCTTACTTCCAAACGCTTTATTTACTCAGGGCTTACTGGGGGCTGTACAAATTAGGTCTCTTGCTACATGTTTGGCATATCTAATATATATATTTTTTAATTATATATACTTTTTCTTTTGCAGAACCCCAGCTGAAGGGAATTGTGACAAGGTTATTCAGCCAGCAGGAATACTTCCTGCAGATGCACCCAGATGGTACAATTGATGGGACCAAGGACGAAAACAGCGACTACAGTAAGAAAAATTAGCTTGTTTTGCAACCCAATTACAATCAAATGCATCACCTAGTGGGTCTTGATTGTGAAGCTTCATTTCAGAGAAGATCGAATTAGGAAGAAGCCAGATGTTTTCTGCACATTTTTTCTATCTATACTTCCCCTTTAAATCTTGCCTGTGTAATTTCATATATTTCCTCTCCAATCTTGTTCCCTCCTGCCCCAATTCTGTAACTGCCATCTGGGTGGGGTGGAGAATAAAACCCATGATTTGAACTACTGCCAGAAGAGAAAGGAGATTATATTTATACACATGCCACATGGGTAAAGGATACAGGGAATTCTCTTTCCAAGGAGAAGAGGAGATAATTGCTTTCGCTCTTTTTATCCTGAAAAATTCAGCAAGCATCGGGAATTTCCAAGCTGGAGGAATCCAGCTGTTCATCCAAATCTCCTGCTTTGAGACTGAGGTTATTGGATGTCCTTGCCTTTCCAAATGAGGTCTGCTTCCAAAACCCTGCTCAAAGGGAGTTAAATTCATACTACCCACCAAAGGTTAGCAAAGTGCAGTGGAGCCATGTAGGTTTAAAAGTGATGCTCACATGCAGGAGCCATAATGGTTTAAACCAACCAATAGCCAATATCCCCTTGTCAGAGCAGTGTGCAAGAGAGGGGCTCTGTGAGGATGTCAAGTGAAATCATGAGAGGCTGGCAGAGCCTTTGGAAAACGAACCAAGAGAAACCAGAAACCTGGCCTGGAGCATCCTGTTAGCATCAGGTTTTAGTTCTGCATCATGTGCTTGTGCTAAACGAATGAAACACCACAAATTGATGATATAATTCCAATTTACATGGGAAAAGAACAGCGTGTAGACAACCTCCCCACACTCCTGTATACCTCTTACTCTGTGGAGGCTTGAGCCTTCCTACAAGAAGCCTGGCCTTGGGTTTTCTCAGGCAGATGCCAGCACACAATGAGTTCAGTGGGCTTTAGCAAGTGAGTAATAAGCCAGTGCTGGGTGGTGTTAGCTGCTTTTTTCCAAAGGAGGAAGACATAGGATGTTTTCAATCTGCAGAAAATCCCATTGGAGGCTTATTTGTCATCTGGCTTGCAAAGAGCTCCTAGAAATGGCAGGGATTCATTACCCTCATCTATCAGTTAGGACCAAACAACGAAGTAATGGGCTTAAATGGAAGCAGAGATGAATTTGGGTAAACAGCAGGGGAAAAAGGAAATGTAAGGACAGTTCTGCAATATTTCAGACTGGCAGAGGAGGCAAGGGAAGCTGCTTCTGGCCCCTCCTCAGTGGGCACAAGAGCAATGTCCTGTGTCTCTGTGACTGAGTTAGCCCCACATCACCCAAACAGTTCTTATGTATGTCAGAAATGTCAGAGATCAGATTGGAAAGATGCTAAGTACTTGTAAGCCTCTTCCACTCTGTCTTCTTAATTGGAAAGAGATGGGCACTTCTGGAACATCAATTTATCTGGTGAGATGACAGCCCTACCTTGGCAGCCTGGTGGCACAGGAGGCCCATGGCTGTAATGTGCCAAGCCCATTGCTCAGTCATGGGCTGTGCAGGAAGGTTTGGTACATAAAGGGGCATTTCAGATGGAGAATACAGGGATCAAACAATCCCCTGTGTCTTGACCTTAGGGGATATCAGAAGAGAAAAATCCAATCTGATAGTATTTGGCTCCTGAAAATGAGAGGAGTATGCTTTATTCAGTCCTATTTAATTTTTGACTGCTCACTTTCCTTTACGAATCTTCAGTTTAAGTCAGTGATTTATATGATATGAAGCTTCCTGTTATAGCTTCAAAGTGAAAAGTGTTACTTGGTTTTGGAAATAACAAAAAATAAAGCATACCTTCTCCTTTCTCTATTCCTTTAGATCTCTTGAATTTTGACCAGAAAAAAAAGCCACGTAAGTGTATTCAACTAAGTGAACAGCTGCAGACTTGCTTCACTGGTATTTTCTGTTTTAAAATATTTATCCAGAACACTCCTGGCCAGCTATTCAGAAGCTGTATTTCTGTGCAAAACTCATCAAAAATAGATAAATGATATTTTCCTGTCCCTGGAGTGGTGTTGGTTAACTCACTTCTTCTGTCAGAGAAGGATGCTCTCGACGCTCACAGCAGGTCCTTGCCATCATGTGTGGCCACATATTCTCTGTTCAGAAGTCATCTTCACACAATTAAATGCCCAGTGAATGCTGTGTTCCATACACTGACTCTGTGTGCTGTATCTATGCACTAATTATTTGAATTATCATTATGAAAGGAAGCCTAATTTTTGTGGAATGTATTAGGTTGGTTTACTCTGGCAAAATAAACATTTCAAATGAGATGCCGACATGTCCCTGAGATGCATCTGACGCAATTAAAAGTTCTAATAAAAATCCAACTATTTGTATAAGAGGAACTGCTAATATTTAAGCAATTTTAAAATGAATTATCTATCTGGTTCCCATTTTATAGGTGTTCTTGAGAGGCTGATGGTATTTATTTTCCACCTCTTTTCTTAAAAGAGGAGAAAAAAAAAAAACACAAGCCAAGTTCTAATGGCATTTGAATGGGCATCCAGCCAGCTTCCCACAAAACAGTGCTTGGGACATCTGTTCTTTATACCATGCAGTTAGAGGCATGCTATCTTGCCATAAGCAAGAGGACAGGTTCTCTTCCTACTTTTATGGGGATATATGAAGAATTTTTCTATATAAGTTAGCTCAGACCCATAATCAAGTGAGCGTTCAAAGTTTAAGAAGTGTCATGTGTCTGATAAACTGCAATGATCAATGTGTTTGTGGCCAAAGGGTTTAGCAGTGAAGTGTGATAAAAGTGCTATAATCAATAAGCATTGTCACACATAAATCTGGTGGTGGGAGAAGACGGTGAAATGTAATGACAGCAAATCAGCACAAGCATGCAGTGTCTTAATTTTTCTATCTCCTGCATGTAAACCAAAGAGTACTTCCATCCTGTGTGGTAACATGTGGCATAGAAAATATAACTTTTGCAACAGAAGAAAAGTGTTTAATGTGTTTTTTTTACTACATCAGACCCCATAGTGTAGAATAATAGAATCATTAATGTTGGAAAAGACCACTAAGATCGTCTAGTCCAACCACTGACCATGTCCCTCAGTGCCACATCTCCATGATTCTTGAACACCTCCAGGGATGGTGACTCCCACCTCCCTGGGCAAGCTGTGTCAATGCACCATCACTCTTTCAGAGAGGAAATTGTTCTTTATACCCAACCTGAACCTCCCGTGGTGCAACTTGAGACTGCTCCCTGTTTTCCTATTGCTGAGAAGAGGCTGATCCGTGCTTCACTCCTACCTGAGCCTAGTGGGTCCTGATAGTTGTACCCTCCTGCAGGTAGTCCTCTTCCCCACTCTTAAATCTGGTGTTTCAAGTTAAGTGGGAATTTTTTTTTCTTGATACAAAATGAGACATTAACTTTTAAAGTTAATTGAGGTTTTTCCCCATGTTTTTTCTTTCTTGTAAGAAAGCTTACAAGCTCTGAAATCTGTTCCAAAACAAACAAGATGAAATATTCACTTAAAAATGACAACAAATGGCTTTAACTAATTCAGAGATCTTTAATGATTTGATTGCTGAAACTGTTCCGAGAACTTGCACAGCTTTGATTGACCTTCAAGCACTTTCAATAGAGGGAAAAGTTTGCTTCGTAAAACTCCTTTGGCTGTCAGTCACCTCTGTCAGATGTGTGCCCTTCAGCTTGCCTGCCTGCCCACTTGCTTCCCTACTGTACAGCATGTTGTAGGAGATGCTCTGCCATGACTGTGAGCTGTGGGACCAAGGGAGGTTGGGTGCTGGCAGTGCTCTTCCTGCTGTCACACAGCACAGTGGGATTATTGGTGTGCTCTTTCAGCATACACCTGTGGAGAAAAGAGTTTTGCACATGGAGGTACTTCCAGGTGGAACTTCTTCCCACTAATTCTGGGCATTATCACCCCACTGCCTAATGAATGCTTTGAATGATCTGTCACATTTTCTATGGAAGACAAATAGGCTGTATAGAAAGAATGATGATGCCCATTTTGCTTCATTATTTGCAGTAACATGCTCCATTTTTCAGTGGGGGAAAAATTAGGGAATGAAAATTGCTTATAAATAGACTTGTTAATTACAGAGGGTTTTAGACCTCTCTAGTAGTGAGAAATTGATTGAAATATAGGCTTGCCTTGGTTACTGTGCTCCTCAACAGTAGGATTATGTTGTAATGCAGCTCTATGGTGCCTGGTAGCTACACTGGGGCATTTCTGTCTCCTTTTGGAACACTGTAAGAGTAGTGCACTCCTTGACTCTTATTGTTCAAATACCAATATCTATGTTGAACTTTGTATGCATCTGTTGAAACCCTCTGCTTGCTTCCTATGAAATTGCTTAAAAATAGGCACTGATTTTGGTAAGGCTTAAGCATACATCTTGATATTTCACTGGAGATGGTGCTTATAACTGGAAGAAGTTATGCAGTTTCTGGGAGTTTGACAAATCTCATGTTCTCCACTGTGTGCAAGGAAGCAACAATTTTTTTTTTTTTTTACTACTTTTCTCTCCATATTTGCTATAAATGTTTTTCTCTTTAAAAGGGGTTCTCAGCCACTTTTGTCTCATCCTCTCTGTAGTAATTCACATGAAGGAGGTTCTTAAGAACCATCTCATGATGGAGTTAAATCCATATGTTACCTGGCATGTGTGTGTCTAGCAGGTCTCCTTGGAGAGTGACGTTGGCATTGAGTTGGATTTGAGTCCTTTTGAGTCCTTCCATCATACCAGCTTTAATAACAACCTGACCTGAGGAACTGCAGCAGTTTGACTGGGAGCAAAAGCTACTTTTGCCTTCAGTGCTGATGTTAAATGAGTGGTAGCACATCTCCCAGAGAAGGAGAGACTAAGAGATGGCACAGAGAGATCTGCTTCTCTTGCAGCCATTATGGGAAGACCTCTTTCAGGTGTAGAAGTTTGTAAATGATCTATGAAATGAATCAGTTTGAGGATTATGTGTGTGACAAGGAAGAGACCTTGAATGAAGCATTCCTGTGTTTCTGCTTGACCCTGTGCCTGTTTTTCCATGTGCTGAGCTGTGCCCATGGCAGGGTCCAGTTAGCTCTTCGCAAGCTGAAGCATAAAGTCCTGCAGCACCTGGGTGCTCTTATCCTATAGATCTCAGTGGGAACAAAGCCATGTTAATGCTTGAGTGTTCAGTCTGTCGGTGCTGACAGTCCTCTCTCTTTTGAGTCCGTTATAAATGCAGCCAAAGCCTGACCATTCGTTAATGGGTATGCGTACTGGAAAGGTCTTTCACTGAGATCCAGGGGCTGCTTGGAATCGAACAATAAGAAATAATTGGCAGGAAGTTGCTGCAGCGCTTTAGTCATTATGATGGCAGTAAAATTAAGTTCTGAAAGGTTGTATCTTCCATCCTATCTAGTGCTGCTTCTGAATGAGGAGCAGAGCTCTGGTCAGGTCTGCATCTCTTCTTCTGTCCTTCTTAAAAACTGCTTTCAGCATCAAAGCTATGGCTGCGGATCCTTCATGTAGCTGGAGCAGGGCTTGTTTCCAACTCAGGACTGGGGTGGGCTAGCCCCAAGGCAAGAAGCAGCAGTGGCCACACGAGCTGATGTCTCAGTAACTTCTGCTTTTCTTTCCGCAGCCCTTTTCAACCTAATTCCTGTGGGTCTTCGTGTGGTGGCAATCCAGGGGGTGAAGGCAGGCCTGTACGTTGCCATGAACGCTGAGGGCTATCTCTACAGCTCAGTAAGTACTTGCACCCTTGGTGGCTGGGTCTTGTAGGTGGGAGGGAGGACTTGGAGGCAGTCACATATTGGAAAGCCTGTAAAAGCAGGAATGATGGCAGCTGCTGCAAAGCCATGCAATATTCACTTCAGAGTGTCTCTGCAGAGCTTCGTGGTAATATTTCCTGACCTGTGAAGATATACTTTGCATTCCTTTGAGTAGTTACTTAATGTAGGTCACGTCGTAGAGGAGGTTTTGTGGTTTGCTGGTTATATTCTGGTTTCATATTTGTGAAATGGGATGGACCGAATGGAATTGCTTCTGCATTGCACCCAGAAAACTGAATGTAGGTGGTGCCCTGATGGGTCATGCTCTGCTTTTGACTGAGGTGTAAATCCACTGTAATACACTGGCTTCATTAAAATGGTTCTGGACTGTTCTGTTGGCAGTACTTCAGTGGAGCAGAATTACCCTGTATTTGTGTGGTCTTTTTAATGCACATTAAAGATAAGTGAGGCATTTTTTACTGACTAATTCCCCTATAACTTTCTTAGATGGCATGAAAGGGCATGAGGTTATTCATAAGATTCTCATTTGAAGTAAGTAATTGATTTTCACATTGAATAATTGATTCAGTGATTTATTAAATATGGCAGCCCTTTGCCAGAAATTTTTATGCTTCAAATAACTTTGCTCTAGTTCTACATAGTAAGTAGTGATAGTTAATAACACACTTCTCATTTCTGTGCTTATGATATCTTGAAAGCGTATAGGCAAGATTCTAATCTCATCTCCATTTGTGTAAATTTACAGCACAGTGATTCTGCTCTTGTCTCAGCATTTACTTTGCTTTAAAAGCATACGTGAGATTGGAGATAGGACTGCTGAAAGGACAACAGTCTCTGTGGTGTGGGGCATAAATGTTGATTTCCGCGGCCTGACCACTGTGTGCCTTCCATAAACCTGTAGACCATGCAGTGCTGTACCATGTATGCAGACAAAAACAATGCTGTGTTCCTAGTCCAGTTTTAAATCACTCACATGGCTGGGATTTCCCCCGTTCCCTTGGGAGCTAATAATGCTCTCTTTCCCCAGCAGCTCAGGGTAGAAAATGGCAAGTGGATGTGTTAGTATGCCTGGCAAGATAGGTCTCAAAACTGGCTGCTTGTCAAGAAGAGACAGAGATCAATCTGGATCTCTATGGATGCCAGACACTTCCTGTTCTTTCATAGTCCAGTAAACATAAATGACTGCCTCTAAATAAGTTACATCAGTTTACTAACAATGAAAATCTTCTTGTAAAGTGATCAGATCCTAAAGGTAGATGAATAATACCAAGATATTTGCTATTCACGTGAAGTGTCTTAAAATGCTTCAGATCATACGTTATTCAAATTAGAGTGGTTTAATGGGGCCTGCTTATTCCTAGCAACTGCGCGTGTCTTAAGTAGGATGGTTAAGCAGGGAAGACTAAGGATGTGCTTTGATGGCCAGTGGTAAATGAAGTGCACCTCATTACATGCCATGGCTTGAGAGCATCCAGATCTGTTTAAACTAATACAAGAGTGAAGCTGTTTTTCATGAATATGATGTAAGGTTTCTGTTCGTGGCAGATGGATGCTATTGTCCCATCTCCCCATCCCTGCTTCAGGGAGATGGAACTCCCTAGGGTGGATTTTCTTGTACTCACTGGTGTCTCTGTCTTACAACAACACATCAATAAATTCACTGTGTTATTCACTGTGTTTTGGAGAAATCCATAAGATAAGAAAGAAGATAAGAAAATTTGGGGATAATAAAGCCTGTTAAAAGCAGGGGACGTGCTTCAAGCCTCTCGTAGTATCAAAGACAAGGGATTAGATCAGGATCCCATGAAAGAACTGGATGTGACTGAGAAGAGCTCAGGCTGTCCAAGCAGCCTCTTGGATGCTGTAGCATTCCTTGTGGGGCTGGATCCCACTCCAAGCCAACGTTTGGCACGGCTGTGTCTGACTCAGAGACTGTGCTGGGGAATTGCTTTGGCAGCACTGACAGTCTGCTCCCCTCTGGGACGAGCCAGCCGCAGCCATGCTGCCTGGACCTGACTGCTGCCTACACCGAAGGACATGTTGTCCCTGTTCCCTTGCTCAGCAGACCCTAAACTACAGCTTTGGACTGGCTTCCTTTGTTGTTATGCTTGCACCTGCTTTTTCCCTAGCCTTTACTGAGAGATTTCTGAAAAATGGGTCAATATTCCCCATAGATACTGTTCACTCATGCGGATCCATTGATAAATGAACTTATTCTGCTGCTTGGCTGCCTCACCTGCTGTCTGTCTCAGACTAGCCCTGCTAGGACTTCTTGTAATGCTCTCAAACCTGGAATTGTTTTCAGATAAAACACAACTGTCTAGGGATGTGCTGCTGCCTGAATTTTTTCCTCCTCTAGAACCCAGGTTTTCTGCAACTGTAGCTGAACACATTGCCACTGCAGGGTTTGGTTGTTTGGGGTTTTTTGATAGTATTTAATCTGTGTGTGCCAGCTGGGACCTTGGCTGACATCCTCTGCACTGGATCAAACCAGAGGCTATTATCAGCTTGGTCTTGGAGATGGTTTGTGCCAGCTCCTTCTCAGCATGGGCTCTTGAATGAGTGAGTTTAGAATAAGCAGCCCTTGGAAAAAGTCTTCCCAGCACCAGTCAGAGCTGGTTCTCTGATGCCAGCTTTGGTGAGAAAGCTCTTTGCAGAAACGTGCAGTCCTCTCCAAGACTGATGTGCTTGGCCACATCCATACCTCTAGCAGTGAATTTTTTTATCTCTTCCATGCAGTTAGAGATGAGCAGGGACAGTGTGGGGTTGGTTTACTTACTGCCTGCAGCCGGCCATAGATCCCTAGCTAGCTTTACAGCTGGCTGAATGTGTTAGATGCCAAAGCTCGTTGGCTTGGGAATCAGCTGTTTATGACTTTTATGGATTGTTTATTTACACTTGAGACCTGTTTTTTTTTTTTCCAGACTAGCTTATTGAGGTCTCTGAGGTCTGCTGTGGAATCAGGTGCTGAGTAGGCAAGAAAATCAGGCCTTGATCTGAGGCACTTGCCTTTGCAGACAGCTGGATGCAAAAGCACTATCTTCACAGCAAGCTTGCAGAGTCACTGGTGAGTTTCCACTGAGGTTTGTTGTAATATGGAGCAGCTGTCAGTTCCCTGGTGATGCCCCAAAATTTTTATCAGCACCTGTTTTGGGGAGATGCACAACCCTCCTGGGGATCCTCTGTTGGCATTTGATACCAAAGCAGCAGTATACAAAGTGAGTGAAGGACAACGTTTCTACTTGTACTGTCTCAGCTGTTGGGAAGCTGAGGCCAAGGGCTGGTTGTTGCAGAGGACAGGAAAACATAGAATAAAGAGGTACGTCCCGCTCCAGTGAGTTTACAGCTTAATTGTAACGGGAGAAGACATAGAACATGCTCTCCTGTCTGTCGATCTGCAGTTAATGGCTTACACTACCAAATTAATTCCTACTTCCGTATAACCTTGCTAAGTGAAGTTGGAGCCGTCTCTTCACTCTCAACTCCCAGCTTTCTCTCCATCATTCCTCTTATATCTCAGAGGAGTATGGGAATGGGATCACCCCAAAAATAGTTTGGCTGAGAGGCAAGATCCTGGAGCTTGTCATGGGCAGGGTGTCCCCAGGTCCACGCAGTCATGCCACGCACACCAACGTTGCAGCTCTGCATGTGATATGTATAATTCAGTGGCATTGCGGCTGGGATTGGTTTTGCCCCAAGTGCATAACGCTTCTAAAATGTATTGCTCTCATATATTCCTTGTTGTTTAACTCTGAGTTCTAATTATTTTTGAAATAGCAAATCATGATACATAATTTATTGGGAAGACTGAGAAAACCCTAGCAGAGATGGGGAATGCAGAGGAGAAAAAAATGGGTCGCTTACCAGGACTCAGTGTGGTTTTACAGTATCAACCTGCAAGTTGAAATGCTGAAATTAGAGCTTGAATCACTTCAAAGATTCCTGCTAATAAGGGAATGATTATGCACAATAAAAAAAAAAATCCAAACAGCGCTGAAAAAAAAAGTCACGTTAAGAGCTCAGTGTCTTTTCATTTTCCCTTTCTCTGCTTTTTTATTCTGCTCTATCATTTTGCATAATAAACATGTCTTGCATAATAATAAACAAGCATCTGGGGAAGTATGTATATTAACTGTATTTTTTTAATCTGCTTGCGATGCTGTAACTATTTCGCTACAACTCCTCCAGGGTTGCTGCACTCTTATTTACATCGTTTCAAGGTCAAGGGCTGAAATCAATAACACTGCATTCTCTCCCCTAATAGGCTTGGGGTGTCAACCTTCTGCCAATGGCATTTCTTTAGTGCCTGTTTGACCTCGAGCCCTGCGAGGTGAATCCATCAGAAGTGCCGATTCATTGGGCAGGTATCCTGAACATCTCGTTTTTGCAGGCTTTGTAGATGAGCATGCTGCTGGGGGGATTCCCTGGTTTACATGGCTCATTAGGGAGCCAGGTCAGCAGAGACAGAAATGTCTCCAAAGGGAAAGCACAACAGGAGCCCAATTTGATGTGCTTTTAATTCCCCCCTGCCCCCCCCAGGGCATCCACTCTACTTTGCTGGCGGTTTAAGAGGGTTTGCTGAAAAGAGATGTTAACTGGGAGATGTAAAATGCCTACTGTCTCCAGGCTTAATCATTAATATGGAGGGAGTAAAATGGATGTTGGGGGCAAGCAGTTCTGCCAGGAAAACCAGCCCCTGGGAGCAGATTCCTGCCTTGCATCGAATGTTCCTAAAATACAGCTGATGAGTGCCCTGGTAGCATGGAAACCTGTAAACAGTCTATCAATAGCCAGGCGGTCACTCTTCTAACCAATGAGGTGCTCTACCCACGTTGCCTGGCTGTCCTCATCTCTCAGAAGCAAAGTGGTGCTTCAGCTTTTTGTGTGCCTTGGCATTGGGAGTTCCCCTGTCCTACGTGAGACTGGTGGTAACCGGACTCAGGGCATTGTTCA